GGAAGGAAGGAAGGAAGGAAGGAAGGAAGGAAGGAAGGAAGGAAGGAAGGAAGGAAGGCTGAACTGAAACCAACAGCTTGATTAATTGATTCAAGTCTTTATGATGAGTTAGATGGTTTACAGACTGTTACAGAGTCCTCAGGTTCTGTCGATTGATTCCACTTTCATTCAAAGTGAAAGTACAAAGGGAATCATTTCAGCACCAGACATGAAAGAAGTTTCTATAGCTGCAAAGCATCCTGTGTTTGTAACAGTCATGGCATCAGAATAAAACTGTCACAATATTTCCTAGGAAAGTACAGTCCATTTTTCTACCCCGTGCTATCTAGAGCACATGTTTGGCTACTTCAGGGTTAGGTTTTGCAATAGACTAACCACAGCTTCCAGATTTTGAATCCATTTGCAGATCTCTAACCAATCTCAACCAGATCTACATCTAAGTTGTAGATGTTCACCAGTGGACTATTATTTTCCGCTTCTCTTATTCTGGAATGTGCTCCATAACTGTGACAGCATGGACAATGAAAAAAAAAAAAAAAAAAAAAAAAAAAAAAAAGGCTGCTGGATTTTATCCTGTGCCTGCTGAATATAACTCAAAAATCTGCTGTTGAAAACCATTGCCAATAAAAATTTGAGACTGTTAAATTCCTTCAAAACTTCATGTTGAAGTATTTGGGATGTTCTTATGCAAATATTATACTAAAAACTACCCGACAAGTTGTCTAACTATTGGAAAACACTGAATCTCTTAAGGCAATACAATATTTTCAGATCTTTTGCATCTTTTGATCATATACTATCATCTTTAGCTTGCAGCAGTTGTTCCCTCTTGAAGAACATATTGAATAGCCAAATATTTCTGCTTTTTTTTCCCTTGCTTGAGGCAAACAATCAAGTTTCATTCAAGAAGCTTCATTTGTATTTGAGTTACTTAATAGTAATCTTGGAGAGTTCTTTCACAGCTGTAAAGGTGGAACATTCACCAAGTCATTAGATATATACCTGTCTGAYTTCAGCCTGGACAAGGTTAATTTTTTGCAATAKCTGGGAGGGGGTGGGGCTGAATGGGCATGGCCAGGGTTCAGATGCTATTCTATGCCACCTTATGTCATTGCAGGGATGGGAGCAAAGGGGCTCTAGCTTCCACCAGGAAGGGTGTTTCTTCTGGGTGGAATGTTTTGGTATTACTTTATGTGTTAATTCTTCTTCATCTTATACCTTTTTTTATTAACGTTGTTGCTGTTTCTCTTTTTTTTTCCTTACATCATTGTTATTTCCAGTAAATTGCTTTTATCTCAATATATGATCTCTGCTTTTTTGTGCCTCCTGCTGGAAGCAAACTGGAGAATACCATTCCTAACCATGACTGTATCTCACACAATTTATTAAGTTTGTCATGAATAAGACTTTGAAAATATTACTTTCCTTGTTAYTGAAGATCCTATTATTGTTTTATGTAGAACTGAGCACAAAAATGGTTTGCATTTWAAAAATAGTTATTCCTTTAAATTAGAAGTAAAAAACAAGCCAAAAACAGACCACTTGGCATTTCAGACTCATTTGTTATTTTATTTCCATAATGTTTGTTGATTATGATAATTGATCACTCCAAAATTTCAAAGATATAATTAATTGGTGAAAATAAGTTAGTTGCCTTTTATGTGAAATATTTTRATTAACAAAGAACATTTAAATAAATTACCATAATATTGAAGGTCACACAAATATTAGGTGCAGTTGTGCTCACTGTTGCATAGATACATATTTCTATATAAAGACAGAAGGAGTAAAATTAATTTTATTAAAATGAAAATAATTTATTTCTTCCTTAGGAGTTTAACTTCAAGAATCTTATTCTGCTTGGCCTTTTATCTAAGATTAAATCTAATATCAGTTTAATGTTATATATGGCAATGTAATTTAATCTACTTATTTCAGCAAAGGTGGAGCAACAATTTAATTTGATTTTTCTTCAAATACTGAAACTATTTTTTTCTGTAAAATCAAGCAAATGTGGTAAGAAAGTGACCTACCAAAGGTTAAGTAACACAATAACTCCTGAACTGTATTGTACACAATAACACTATCACATTTTCTTTTCCCTGACACGATTTTCTTATCAAAAGTTGTGGGAATTTGCCCAGTGCTTTCTTGGGCATCTTCAGGCAGAGTAAGCAGATTAATTTGCATTTGCCATTGCCCTGGTGGTAGCTGAGTCATTACTGTTGACAGCTGCAAAGATGTAAGGATTACTTTCTTCTCTCTGTATTGAAATGCAAACAGTTGTTACCGTAGTTTGCATGGAGCTGAACCATCAAGTTAAATAATTTTTTAGAAAGTCTTCTTTCAAGAAACTTAGGAAAAGCATTCGTTTCAGGATTCCTAAATCAAAATGTCCAAATGGTGTATAGTAAAAGCAAAAGACTAGAGACCTTTGTTGTCTAACATATTTTCAATACATATTAAATATTAGACTTTCAAATCAAGAGTAGATTCAATTTCAACTGAAGTTGTGACCTTCTGTAGCTGAAGAAAAAAGTGTTAGGTTGATGACAAGATTAATGATATTTACATGGCAAATGACAGAACTAAAGCTAGAGTACTGATTAAAGATAATTAGTCACTGTAATGCCATTTTGAACCTATGCAAAATTTTATAAAATCAACAAATAGTCAGAATTTGGGTATGTTCTGAATTCATAAGCAGTAACGATATATTTGCAAAGGTAGTGTCATTTGTACTTAGCTGTTTTCTTATGAAAATATTTTTTTYCTGCTCTTTGAGTGTTCCTGAATCCTGCTATGAATTCTGTTATAGTTGTGGAAAGAAAATATTTATTAAAATCACTCTTGTGTAATATGTTCCCTTGAAAAAGCAAAATAAATGGAGTTTTTCATCAACTCTAGAGCTAATGAAACAACATTCTACAGGCATTAGTAACTTGACTTTTATTAAATTTGCTATTCAAGGGACTAGGTCTGATTGAAACTTATTTTCATGGTACCTGTGCTACTTTTTGCTAGGGTGTCTGAAAACTTTCTGTGAGACAGGAAAATTACATGGTCTGCCTAATCTGCTTGACTATATATTACTAAAAATTAATAAGAACATAATTACCTTTGACTCTATAATCACCCTACTAAAAATGTAGAAAATCCTTCCTTAAGTTCAAAAGCAAAGGACTCATCCATAGAAAAACTGAGTTTGTCTGTACCCAGTTTCCACAGGAGGTCAGATTACAAAATAATGAGGAATTTTCAAAAGTACTTTCTGATCTAATTTTCCTTATTGAAATCAAAGAGAATCAACACATAACTAAACATGCAAAGGCTTTGTAACTGTCACAATGAAAGCATTAAAAGTATYAAAATATGCAGAGAGGATTTTAATTGGCAAGCCATTAGTGTTGGAAAAAGATACATTTTCAGTCATGTTAGCCCTTCTGTGAAACACCTCCCTGGCTGTGCTTGCCAACAGATAAACAAAGTATAAAGAGAAGGTGACACCAGCCATTCATAGTTTGTGATGTTTCTGTGTCACTTCAATGTGTGCAAAACCTCTCATTCATACGAAGGAGATTAATGGAAGTCCTAGCTCTGCTGGCCTTTCAAAGAGTTGCTCAGTTATTCTAAAAGWTTTGGATGAAAATGTTTCCGAAACAACACTGGAAACTTTATATGTTAACAAGTAGAAGTGCTCAGACCAAGGAGTTTACAGTGTTTTGGAGGTAAACTGAATCTTCACATGATTCATTACATTCATCATCYTGAATTTTCAAATTCCTCATAGTGCCATAAAAGACATATCTAACTGTTTCTGATCAAGAAAAAAGAAAACACACTAATGCTTCACTAAATAGACATTCTCAGTCTATAACAATGATAAAAGGTGGCAAAGTATTAAAASAAAACTATTAAATTTCATTAATCTTCTACAAATCAGACAGGCTTAACAGCAACAAAAAAAAAAGTAAAGCAGTCCTTAAAATAAAACAAAGCCCTATATCATTTATATTTTGGAGTAAATCTGTTTTGTACAGACGCCAAACAGAATTTACTCAAACTACAAGAAACACCAACACAAATATTTAATGGAAAGAATTCTTAATGCATTGTTAGCTCCTTAGTCTGGAAATTAATGACTCTAGTAACTATATAATTAGAAATGGGAATTTGTGAACATCTTTGTTAACCTTACATTAATTTACAAAATAAGACAATAAAAGAAAATAGAAAGAAAATTTTGCTCCCCAAAATCACTTTTTATAATACATGGAAAATATTGCATCTGTACAAAAAAAAAAAAAAAAAAAAAAAAAAAAAAAANAAAAAAAAAAAAAAAAAAAAAAAAAAAAAAAAAAAAAAAAAAAAAAAAAAAAAAAAAAAAAAAAAAAAAAAAAAAAGGGTCTGTCTCTCTTTTATAGAAGACAGAGTTACAAACCAAAACTCATTATTAACCATTAAGTCAGGAGTATTAAATCACTTAAATTATTACCTTCATCTAAAATATTTTCCTTTCAGTGGAGCTAAACCAACAAAATCATACCTTCCTAGGCTGGGGGGGAAATGTGCATTCTATTTTCAGTTTTCACAGTAATAAGAGATTAGGTAGAAAAACATATCTTCGTATCAGGAGATATGTCACTGCAGCTGTACCTTTCAAAGTCTCTTTAAAGCAGGCTTCCTTGATCTCTGTGAGGAGCAGAGACCTGAGGAAAGTGGTATTGCTATAGGGGCTTGATCTAGCAAGCTCTCTAAGCCTTGCAGTAAGAAGTGCAAAGAGTCAAAAATGCACCACAGAACACTTCAGACAGATTGTGAACTGTTTCTTCATACCAGTAAGCAATTAGATGTCATATTAGAAACACGGTTGGCTCCTGTTCAAGAGAACATTTATGTGCTGAGTTTGAAGTCAGTGAGACTTAAGTATGCCCAGCAGGATTTCCCTGAACAGAGACAGACCCTTAATAAAAAAATGATTCTCAGCGAGAGGAGATTCASAATCTGGTCTTATTGCTTACTAATTTTGTAGGGCAAGAAACTTGCATAAACTGTGGGAAACTAGGACTTTATTAATCATCCAAATTTGCCTCTGGTAAATATTAAAAACTGAGGAGAAATAAATGCTTTTATGGTAAAGGGACAGGTACAATCGAGAATACATACCCTWACAGTGCTTACAGTGACTGTATATATACAAGTGCCACTTTTAGAATTTTTAGCCATTTCTACTGTCAACAGTAAGATGTGTCCTTGATTATGCTGCTGAAAATGGGAGTAAGGGCAGCTGTGCTGAGCAGCCTGTGAAAGAAATGCTTTCAAAGTCTCTGTTGAAAGGRCTGTTTCTCAAAGGCAGCTGCTCAATGCCTCATGATGTATTCAAGGCACAGCCTCGTTGCCTGGCCCATCACTCTGCTGCACCTGCTTCTCTCAGCTCACTTCACCTGAGTAGTTTGTGACAAGAGTAACAAAACGCTGGCTCCAGCATCCTACAGAAAGCTCAGCAATGCTTTCCCTGCTTCCTAAGCTGTACCACTGCAGAGCCAAGCTCCTGGTTATACACTGTATTTGCTCAGAGCATCAGGTACCAGCTATCTGTTTGCCTTCATTTCACTCCTCCCTGCTGCAATTTCTCTTTACGACTAAGCAACTCCTGTGTGAGCAGTGCCTTGCTACTGCTCAGAATTTCAATGCGCTGCCTGAGATCTTTCTTCCCTTGCAAGTCTCAGAGGATGGTATTAATATCCCACTAATTTCGGGTATCTTTACATTTGGCAAAAGTACTACCAGGCAAATTACACGTGTATTGGCAAATGATAACATTTATCATTGAGATCTATTGAAAAGTGTCCACAACATTAATTTGCTGCAGCATCCTGTGCTACCATCATCAAATTTACCTAAGATTAAGTTTAGCCTCCACTTTTAAAATCCTTCCATTTATTCAGGCTGCACAGTGTCCCCTCTGCATGGTGGGTACCAGAGGCTAAAATATTTACCCTGAGGTTTCAAAATTATCAGTAATTTTTATCCTGTCACCTGAGAATTCTTCTTTCATTTTTTGTTGTGTCCAGAATTATTCTACCTTGACCATTTTTTTTAAAACACACTAATTCCAGATGTTTCAAAATAAAAATGATCACATGAAATTAGAACAGCAGAAATTAGAAACTGATAACTCATTGTAAAGAAAGTTTGGAACRTATAGTTTTGCTGTGGTTTTCACTACTTTGATGATTGCAGTSCTCTTTTCTAAATAATCTTGAAGATCTGATCTAAGGAAGTTTTGKTTTTTTTGTTAGAAGGGTCAAATCCTTTAGAGCTGTTTCCTTTGTCTGGTTGTGTTGTTAGTACAACTCGAGCAATTAGAATGCAAAGCTTTAAATGTTAAAAAGTCTTATATTTAGCAAATTCACATTCTTCTAAGAGGAACTTTTCTCCAGGATTAAGTTCAAAAAAACCTCCTTAAAAAAAAAAAAAAAAAAAAAAAGTGTTGTGACATTCAGAAAACGATCACATTGTGCCTTTGAAATTTCCAGGCTCTTTCAGGCTTTAACTGTGGAGGTTCAGGCAAATCTAGTTGATTTTTTCAGCAAGAGATCAAGAAGATTCTCCTAGATCCTTTCAAGAAGTAATACTGGTGCTTTTGTTGGGACTTCAAATTGAAATGTCTGAACCTTCCCGAATATGARGCAAATAACCAATCTTTGCAGCTATTTTTCTGAAACACTTTATAATTTCTTCAGAATGTCATGGCTAATTTACTATGGTATTTTATTGTGTCTTTCAAAGGAAAACTGAAACCTGGGAATTCATGAGAGAAAAAAACAAATAATTAGCAGGTAGTATTTTATTTGGGACTACACAGAGGGCACCAAAAAAGGAAAAANAGATTATTTTTTCACACAAATCTAAGATTTTAGAGGAATCTATGCTACACTTTGTACTCTCCATTGGCTGCTGCTTTTCATCTTTACTTTTGCCAGATATGCCATTGTCACTCTCCAGATGCAGAGCCTTTATTGATAGGGATTCTGTGCTGCCAAGAGAAAAATATACAAAAATAATAGAATTCATACCTCTAGGAAGAAAAACAATCAGCCTGAGGGGTGTTCTTCATGGATGTTTCAGGAACAGTCCTTCTCAAAGTAAGGACACAATTTCTGCTGAGAAGAAAGCYTTTTTTTTTCTTTTCTTTGGTTGCAGGAAGAAAGAATTAAAAATCACTGAAAAAAAAAAGAGGCAGTAGCAGGACTCAGTTATAAAGATAATCCTTTCTCTAGAGAGTCCTTGGTAGTGAGAATAGCTGTTGTAGTGTCTCAGAACAAACAAGATTTTCAGACTTCTAAAATGAGTGCTTTATTTTTCATTATCAAGATTTTCCTCTTATTTTTCTGCAGAATCCTGAGTGTMTATTTCAAAAATTTCCAAGTTTTGTTATTCAGCACTTATTTTGGCTAAACTACAAAACTACAATGGATTGGCCATTCATTTCAGAAATATTTCATTGTGTAATTTGTGAGAACTCAGAGAATCACCCTCAACATTCAGAGGCATCTGGTTGGAACAGGTGTTGCAGAAAATTGTAATCCTACCTTGATTAAAACTGTTGGGTTTTTTTACCACCACCCTCCAGTTATGCATGACAAGTATCCAAACAATAAAATGTATAGAGTAGGAAGTAAAAATCTGAGGTATTGTCAGGAGAAACATCAGGAATGGATTCAAACCTGTGAACCAAAAGGATTTGTTTTTCAGGGACTAAGACTTTCACAAACTGTTCTACTCATGCATTCGCTGAGAAATGCAGGTTTGTTTCCAACAGCTCAGTTTCACTGCTGATTTTCAAAACAGCTTTCATAGAAAAAAAATTAATATGAAATAAAAACTAGTTTAATCAATATTGAACACATTCTAACAGCTGAGTAGGGAGATTAAAGGCTAGTTTTATGCAGTCTAAAGCCTTTCTTTTTTTATCAATGATACAAGCAATAAAACCACTAAGATCAAATATGTAAATAAAGCTTGAATGTTATGACCTTCCCCCAGTCTTAAGGTGCCTAGATACAATGGCTACCTCATCAGTTTGGAACCAACTTAAGTCTTCGTAAAGGAAACTGATTTTAAGACAGTTCAGAGGCCCATTCAGTGAAATCAAATACCTTTCAAAAGCCTCACTCTATTGTCACCAAGAAAAGTTTGGTCTGCGGGCTCTCTGCCTTTGAAGAAGCAGGGATAGCAGTTTCCATGACAAATGATAAGCATTATCTAATGCAAAGTCTTAGGAGTTTCTTTCCTTAGATTAGAAAGGGTAGAGAAATGTGTTACCCACAGAAGCAAGATTTTGCTTCAGCCCATACCCTCCRGCATTAAAACCAAAAACAGATATGAGGCTTTAGCAGCTGCAGACACCCAGAAGCAAGGTCTGCAAGGAGAAATTGTAGCAGCACACAATGGAGATGGAAAAAAAGGGATTTTCTGTTAATGGGCACCGAGACACCCACTCGATGGCCTGAGAGGGAGCCCTGAGAGTTGCTCCTGGAGAGATTCTGATGGGACTCAAGAGGGAAATTTTTCACAAAGACAACAATCAGCCATTGGAATMATCTCCCAAGGAAATGATGAGCTCCCTGACATTGGACACTTTTAAGATTCACAGGGTGAATTAAGACAGGCAGGGTGCTGGGCTTGTCAAGACCATGTTATTAACAAGAAATACTGGAACAAAGGATCCTTGGGGTTCCTTCCAGCCAGACACTCTGTGATTATTAGATAGAAAAAGTAAGATAAAGAGAAGTTTGTTTCCTATGTGATCTACCTTTACTTTTTAAAGAGTCCTCTAATAAATCAGGGAACAACTATGTTTTTTTACTGAAAAACTGCATTTTCCAATTCAGTCACAAAAAATGCAGTAAAAAGTGTAGTGTTCAAAGAGGAAAGCAATCGCTATTTCCATCACCAGAAAAGAATGAACAGGAAAAAGTGGATAGTACAAGTAAAATTGCAAAATTCAGCAAGAAGAATGCATTTTAATACATTTTACAGTTTTATAGCACGTCACAGAATCACAGAATCAGCTAGGTTAAAAAAAAAAAACCTTTGAGATCAAGTCCATCCACAGTCCTTCAGCTACAGTGCTGGATCTTTGTAATGCTGCAGCTTATCCCTCAACCAAACCCATTTACTTTAATTACTTTATTCTTTCAGAAAAGCAGACAAGGCTCAGATGGATTATGGCCTGGTTTTCAATGGTTTCAGGGACTTGCGATTCCAACTGAAATYGTGAGATTTGAATTGTCTTGATGAGTGAAATGAGAACAGAGGTTGAATTACTGTTTCTATCATCTGCCTATAACAGTACCATTGACAGAAAAGAGCCCACCTCACCTGCCCARTCAGGCAAAAGTTAGGCAAAAGTGAGTATAAAGTCTGTATGTGAGTGAGGCTCATCAAATTGTTGGGGTGTTCTCCCTCCTAGCACAAGACAATTATGCAAGATAAACTTCTTGACAATCAATATTTGACCTGTATTTGTAGATTTGACTCTGAGACCTGTGATTATGCCACACCCTTGGCATATTTTCATTTTAATTACATTTATTTATTTATTTATTTATTTATTTATTTATTTATTAGAGGGGTTAACAGCTTTTTTGGCACCATACACAGTAGTTATCCAGATGGTCATCTGTTATAAGGTCAAGAAAAATAAACAAAAGGACTTTTTTGCATTCCTTCCACAAAAGCTAACTGGTGCCAGCATTACTGTCTCTATTTTGATATATTAAAAAAAAAAATCACTATCTATAGCTACATGCATATATTTATATATATATATATATATATGCAGTACTGTAAAATAAGACCCTAAAATTTACTTGAGTTACTTCTGGGGAAGTTCAATTTATCCTGAAATCACAGAATAAATGACAGAATCAAAAAATATTCTGAGTTGCAAAGGATCCCYAAGGATCATCAAGTCCAACTCCTCAGTGAAAGGTTAGTACTGGGGTTGAACCCACAACTCTGGTGTTATTATCAGCCAGCTCTGATCCACTGAACCAGTGCCAGGGTCAATGCAAAAATGTGCTTTTTGTTGCTTGAAAAGCTCTGATCTAATTATGCATTATATTTTGGTGCTGAATAATCCTATTGAACAGAAAAATAAGGTCTTGCACACTTTATTCTACTGAAGTAATTTTCTCATATTATTAACTTCACAAAATGATGTGAAGTTGTACTGATAACAAACTACTCATTCACTCTGACAGAAAGTAGAAATTTTAAAATCACATTACCTATTTGGGCTGTCCAATTTAAAAATYATTAGAATTATGTTCTATCAATGTACAGATAATTTCTTTAATCATGAAGAAGCAGAGAGTACAGAGGAACTTTCTTAATTACTCTTTATCTGGCTACATCAARATCTTAAGAATTATTACTGCCTATACTTGGCCCCATATCCGAGAACCTACTGAAGTAATTATTTTTGAAGAAATAATTATATAATTATTTTGGATCAGAGAAGTAATTTACGAGATGTAAAGTATTCAATTTGCCAGTACTTTAAGAATCTCACTGAAACCAATTCTTTTCTACTCAAAATATGCACTTCCATAAGGAAAGAAAAACAAAAAAAAAAAACAACTTCCTCTCTCCATTTTTCTCAGCTAACAGATGTAGAGAACTGAAAAACTGCTTCTACTGTTGTAAATGTTTATTTTCTAACATGAGGAAAAAGAACTGTACAGAAAACCACTTAATTTAAAATTCATTGTCATATATAATCTACACTTTGSAAAAGGCAGGCTGCCCTCATACGCTGGGTGTTGACCTGGAATCAGAGATGAGTTCTATTAAGTACAGGAAATAAAGCATGTAATTCCATCTCAGCTTAATGTCRTCTATATCCAACACACTCTGATACCATTCTCCTTCATTACCCTCAGCCTCTTTGCTTTCTCCCAACCCTCTCTGCCAGCATTCACATTCTTCGAGACAAAAGACTGAGCTCTTTTAGGAAGCTGATCCAGTGCAAAACTAACCACCAAAAATGAGCCATTAGTACCAAAGAAAGGAAGCTTACAGAAGTAAACTTACGGTAAGTTTTTGATGACTTACCGTAACAACAACATAATGCAGTCAATGTTTAAATTGAGCGGGTTTTGCCATAAGATCCATAAGTGGCAAATCAAAATGTACATGTCCTTCATGTGACTAGTAGCAGAATGGATGTTGCTCAGCATGTGTACAAATACAAAAACACACTTCACTTCTACCCTTTGATTATACTTAAAGTTGCTGATTAAGCACAGAAATTGTGAAATGTGGTCACAGCTATCCTGGTGAACAACTTTCCAGATAAAATAAAGATTACTGACAGTACCACAGTAAAGTCTAAAGTTCTTATTCAGATCTTGAATGTGTCTCCTAAAGAATGGTTCTCAGAATTCAAACTAAAATCCAAACTGATTGAGCAATAGTAAAATTTGCTGGGATTCTCTTCATTGCTTGATTTGCTTGGTATCCAACCTTATCATAAAAGGATTTTCAAAGTTCAGCAAAAAATCTGGTTGACAGCTATATGAAATAGTGCCTATCTTAAAGATAAACTGCTTATCAGTTTTAGGACTGATATTTAATATAGAATATGATCTATTAATCTATTTTCCCCTGTATACATTTTCTAACTTTATTCTGTTGATGAAGCAGTGGAAGCAACTTTATTGCTGCTCTTTGGGTTTCAGTAGGGTTTAGGTTATTTTCAGTACTACATCTTTCAACCTAACTTTCCTCTTTTCCAGAGAACTCGAACTAAGATAGAAAACATATTTTCAAAGTATTTCCTTGCATCTATTTAAGTAAATTCTTTTTTTAAAAATCTACATTGCATGCAGATTAAATTCCAGGTAAAGGGTCTTACACACTTTCTAGTGAGGTATGATTCTAAAATGGAAGCAAAAAGGAGTAACAACAAAAGCTAAAGATTTTCCATTCTAACTGTAAACTGCTTTGAAACTTTATCAACATAAAATATGTTTGTTTRCCTTTAATCTACATTTAAAAACACTGTAAAGAGCAATTAGCAATGGTGTTTACCTTTCCTAAAACAATATGTACTTTTAGATGTATTTTATAAGTATTTTAAGGATTTTTTTTCATCAATTTAGTAACTAATATGTCTCAGGAGCTCTAGTAAAATATTAATGCACACTAAATTTTT